GTTAGAAACACATGCATGAAAGAAACAAAACTCTTAATGAATGGAGAAACAACAAAATCTTAAAACTGACAACTGCAATTTACATGCGCTAGTTTCTTCATGTCTCTGTGCGCTGAAATTATACTCAGATCTCTTAGGCTAAGACTGCTGACACTGCCATATGCATTTGGATTAGTGAGCCAACATTATTATTTCTTCCTAGAAATCCTATTTGATTATTTCTAGTAGGATCCTATTTGCTTTTCTCCCTTGAGATTCTTAAAGAAAACCTCTGTCTTTTCAGAAGTGACTTTTGTAAAACTTCTTATTTTGAAAAGTAGTAATGGAAATGCAGATTCTAAAATACTGGAAAAAGAGTGGATTCTTCTGCTTATCTATAACTTATATGACAAATCACACGTTATGTTGAAATTTCTATTACCATAAATTAATTGTAAAATAAGTTTTATTTCAATATTTACGTATATGCATGAAATATCCTTTGGTCAGATTCCCTACATCTGTATTCTTTCTTCTACCTCTGCCCCTTTTAACAGTTTTTGGTGGGTTTCATTTTGCTCTTTTTATCCATATATGCAGTGTACTTGCAACATATTCACTCATTATACTTCCCTTTCCCCCTCTCTTCTGCTTCTATCTGGCAGGCCCCACTTTACAATCTAGGTTCCATATATGAGCAAAAATATGTGCTGTTTGTCATTTTGAGATTGGCCGTTCTCCCTGAGCATGATGATCTTCAGTTACTTTTTTTTCTTTCTGAAAACAACATCATTTCATCTTGCTTTTGACAAATAATGCCCAATTTCATATATCTACTTATCAAACACTACATTTGAATAGGATATAACTGTCATAAAAAATTTAGTAAGCATTTGCTTTTCAGTGAGACAGGTTTCCCTTGTAACTGTAAACTGATGTCTCGTGTAGTTTGGGTCCAGGATTCTTTGTTGTGATTTTCTTGTGGTTCCAGATTGTTTTTGCTGTTACTTGGGCTGTATCTCAGAAGATTTGTAAGATATTTTGAAGTTGATGACTATATGTGTTCTTGTGTAATTAGAATCATACATTATGTTTGGCAAATAATATGTAATTTAATTGTGGTTAGTCATTTAAACCTTTAGGAATGAGGGTTTGAGAGAGCTTATGCTTTCCCAGGATTTTCCATTTCTTTATATAGTGTCTTAATTTAGAAAACATTAACTTATCTAAAATCGTTAAATTCCCCATCAAATCCATCTAGAATCTTTCAGGTCGTATAAATCTTGTTCTGCATTGTCAGTATAATTGCCTAGTTCTTTTCTTCACGTTGATAAAGTTTTCCTTCAGACTTGTAAGAATTTTCTTCCTCTTCACTCCTTTACCGTTTTTCCATAGATGAACTAATCCCCTTCATTTGTAGGTTGCAATGAAAAAGTAAGCTGGTGCTCTGTTCTTAGGCTCCAGGCTTGAGGACACACCCACAATACCTTTTATGTTTCTCACGTTTTACAGTATAATTCTTTTGTTGGAATAAAATAAATTTTTATGTATGTATTGTTGTTGTAAGAGGTGGAGAGGAGGTCACTCTGGGACCCCTAAAGGTAACATGCAGGGGCTGGAACCCTAAAAGGAATGTGCCTGGGTAGCAAGGAGCAAAATACCTGAAGCGTAGAAGCCACCTGGCAGCCTCTTAAGGACCCAGACCTGCCAGCAGACACACTGTCATTACTCAAGTGGCCTGTTAGCCCATTGGTGGAGGCCTGTGCCCACCACACTGCACATTCAGTCTCACAGGGGACCCAGTGCCTCCTGAAGGGAGAAATGGCCCGAGGCTTCTCTAAAACCTCCCTAGCCTCTGACAGACTCGCCTGGGCACGTCCCACCCAGACACCAGGACAGCCCTGTCCTTCAGAGGGACCCTTGATGGGGTGCAGAGCTTGCGTGTGTAGATTCATGGGGGAGAAGAATAGCCACTCTTGCTCTCCTGATTGGCACTCCTTGGCTAAGGGTTGGGTGGCAGCCACCTATCCACCTCCTCCACACCCAGCTGTGATGTGGAACAGACGTGGCCTGGGCACCGTGCCTGCGGAGAGAGGAGGAAGAAGCACAGCACCAGGGCAGGTTCCGCTGTCCTCCTCCAACCTGCTGCCAGGGCTGCGTAGAGAATGGCACAGGTCGGAAATGGGAGCCAGCCCGCTGTGCACTTTTTGTAAAGTATACCTTATGAATTAAAGTGTAATCTGAATATGTAGTTAAGGCGCATTTATTTTTTTCATTTGTTTGATGGTACTCTGGGTTGAATTCATTGCCTTTTGCTTGCTTTGCTGATGTTCTACCACTTAAGTCATATTCTTCAACTTGCCTTTTTGCTGTGTGGTTTTTTGTTGTTGTTGTTGTAGAATTGAAATCAGGGCTTGGGTGCTGTCCCTGAGCCTCCTTGTGCTCCAGGCTAGCGCTTTACCACTTGAGCCACGTACCACTTCTGGTTTTTGAATGGTTTATTGGAGATAAGAGCCTCACAGAATCTTTTCTGCCGGGGCTGGCTTTGAACCTCCATCCTCAGATCTTAGTCTTCTGAGTAGCTAGAATTACAGGCACTGGCACCCAACATTGCTAGTTATTTTTGGAGATGGAATCTTGAGGAATTTTCTTCCTGGGCTAATGTCACACAAAGATCCTTTGGATCTCGCTCCTAAGTAGCTAGCTATAAGCCTGAGCTTCCAGAGCTCAGCTAAGAGATATTTTTAATGTTTGTGACTTTTGCATTGTTAGTATCCATAGGATTTCTGTATTTCTGTTAGTATGCACCATGTCATGCTTAATCTTTTTTAAAAAATCTAATTTCTTTAGTGTTTAATGAATGCCATTTTATTATTAAAGGTGCACAAAAACTGCAGGAATCAATATATAACTATATAGTATGTTAGTATATAATATATAAATTACTATCTGTGGCATCAGCATAGGGTTAAACTACCAATTACTTAACACTGTAAAACTTTATAATTTGTTTAATTTGAGTAGTTTTATGAATGCCTGCCAGGAAATTAACTTTTACTGATGACAATTAGCAATTTAAGTTTACTGTTGATTATTTTTTTATCTTGACCACAAAAGGTTCTATTAGAGTCTATAAACAGAATGTTTCCCATATTGTTTTTATTAAAAAGGTAAAAGTCACAACAGCATTTCCCTAGTTTGCTTAAAAAATTCCACGTTGGGAAGAAAATTTTTAAACCTATTTTTCCTTTTCCTCCCACTGCCAGCCCAGACCAGATTATCTTTATACTTGAGTACAGGAGATACCTGTTGATAGAGACCTTCATAAATTCAGCTTCCTGAATATAAAGGATAGAACTATGCATCAACTAATCAATGTGCTCAAAAATGGTTCTGATTCAAAGATAGGGCAAATGTCACTTTTCCAATTTCACAGACTAGTAGTATTAGTTCAAATTAAATTAATATACAAGTGCAATTTTTGTTTTACCTGAATGAAGCCAACACCGATCGTTCCATACTCTTCTCTGTATACACCCTGTATATACTTCAGACTCTTTTCTGATACATTACAAAATCATTTGAGTTGGAGCTAGTTGTTACTGGCAAGGTTCTGCCAGGAGTTATAAATATTCACTGATTCATTCAGTTTCAATTTTGTGAATTATTTTTCCTTCTTTTGTGCCAGTCCTGTGAGTTAAACTCCGGGCCTGGGTACTGTCCTGAGCCTTTTGTGCCTGAGGCTGGCATTCTACCAATTGAGCCACAGCTCTATTTCCAGCATTTTTGGTGGTTACTTGGAGATGGGTCTCATAGGTTTTCCTGCCCAGCCTGCTTTGCACTGCAGTCCTTAGATCTCAGCCTCCTGAACAGCTAGGATTATAGGCATGAGCCACCAGCAACAGGCATTCTTGTGATTTTTTTTTTAGCTTTAATATGTTACATTTAAATACATTAAACTGATCTCATTTGAATATTACACCAGGATTCTCTGTATACAGATTTATTTTTAAATTCCAGTTTTTAAATTATATGGTTGGCTTTTGTTGTTGTCGTTGTTTTTGTTTTGGTTGGACATGGGGCTTGAACTCATGGCCTGGGCCTGGGCTCTCCCTCTGACCTTTTCTGCTCAAGGCTAGTGCTCTACCACTTGGAGCCATAGCACCACTTTCTTTTTTTTTAGGTTAACCAATTGGGGTGATAAGAGTCTCAGGGACTTTCCTGCTTGGGCTCGCTTTGAACCGTGATCCTCAGATCTCAGCCTCTTGAGTAGCTAGGATTACAAGCGTGATCCACCTGAGCCTGGCAAATTACATAGTTTTTTAAAACACAACTCGTAAATATAAACTGTTCTTTTATTTCTCTGTATTTGAGCACTGATTTTTATGACCTTATCTAAAATATTTTTTTAAAAAAAAAAAACAAGGTAAAGAATGAGATTTTTTAAAAAAAGTATAAGGTTTATATTTGATTTTTTTATAATTATGTAGAACTTAGCCACTTTTATTCTCAGAAAAAACATTTATATCAACGGATATTTTGTTTTAATTTATATCAGTGGCTCACAGCTATAATCCTAGCTACTCAGGAGGTTAAATTCTGGATGATTGCAATTCTCTAGGGCTAGAAGTGCCAGCTGGGAGCTTACATGCAGTCACGAGTATAAGCTCTGGTACCACAAAGAAAGGGAGGGGGCCGAGAGGGTGAAGAAAAAAGAGAAGGTCAGAAATAGCCATACAATAAATTTATTCTCTGTACTTAAATTTTCAAGACAATGGCAGCAAGCTATTTGTGTAGGTAACATTAGTATATGTTTAAAAATCAGTCTTTAAAACTCCCATTTATTATACAAATTCAGTGCTTATGATTTGTCTTTCAAAAACATCTCAAAAACACTGTGTTCCGAAATAAGAGGTCCTTTAGAATAAGAATCTGAGGGGTATCAAGGAGATCCCCAAAGTTTCCTATAACATTTCAAACAGTCTGCAGATTGATTTTAATGGTTATATATGTTTTTACAGGTACTGTGAGAATAGAGATGTTTCGAAATATGCAGAATGCAGAAATCATCAGGAAAATGACTGAAGAATTTGATGAGGTATATGGCCTTCCAATTCTTACACAAATTGCCTAATTACACTGTTTCAGTGGCGAATATGCTAATTGTATCTGAGGGGAGGGATGAGGAGAATAATGAAAGAGGTGGATAAGCATGGTACGTACCTGAATGGCAGCTCTTCTGTGCAACTACTTATAGATAATAAATATATAATTAAGTAATGAAAAGAATAGCAAGGGTTGATCTGCCATTGTGTCATGTTTAGTATGTTCTTTTTATACCTTTTAGGACAGTGGTGATTATCCACTTACCATGCCTGGACCTCAGTGGAAAAAATTTCGTTCCAACTTTTGTGAATTTATTGGAGTCTTGATTCGACAGTGTCAGTATAGCATAATTTATGATGAGTATATGATGGACACAGTCATTTCCCTTCTGACTGGTTTGTCTGACTCCCAGGTCAGAGCTTTTAGGCACACAAGTACACTTGCTGGTAAGTAAAATAACTACCATATTCATTCTTTTTCATGGAGTTTGCTATATGTGTTTTAGTCTACTTAAGCTCTCTTGAGATGAAATGTTGAAATATACTGTGTTCCTGACAAATTAATCTGAAGAATTTGTGTTATCAAGAGTAAAATGTTTGCATGTTTGCCAAGATGGCAATTAACAGCCTTAAAAATAAAAAGAAAATTTCTGGCTGTCAAATATTTTCTTACATGTGTACTTTTTCCTATATATATTATAACAGAGAAGTTTGAAAAGACCACTGTGAAATACACTTTGGTAAACCTAATTAATGATAGTTGAAATTCCACGTTTATACTATTTTTTTTCTTCTTTCTACTTTTTTTTTGATGCCAGTGTTAGGGCTTGAACTCAGGGCGTAGGTGCTGTCCCTGAGCTTTTTTGCTCAAGGTTAGTGGTCTACCTATCACTTGAGCCATAGCACCACTTCCAGCTTTTTGGTAGTTAATTAGAGATAAGAGTCTTACAGACTTTTCTGCCTGGGCTGGCTTTAACCATGATCCTCAGATCTCAGCCTCCTGAGTAGCTAGGATGATAGGTGTTGAGTCACCAGTACCTGCCTCTTTTATTCTTCTTTTTTTGGGGGGTAGGGGTGGGGTCAGTCATGGGGCTTGTACTCTGGGCCTGGGTGCTCTTCCTCAGCTCTTCAGCTCAAGGTGAGTGCTCTGCCACTTGAGCCACAACGCCACATCCAGTTTTCTGAGTGGTTTATTGGAGATAAGAGTCTCACGGCCTTTCCTTCCCGGGCTGGTTTTGAACCGTGATCCTCAGATCTCAGCCTCCTGAGCAACTAAAATTATAGGTGTGAGCCACTGGCGCCGGGCTTTACTGCTCTTTTAAAATATACAAAGTGTCCAGGCCCAGAGTTCAGGCCCCACGACCAGACTCCCCTCCCCCACCCCCCCAAAAAAGGTGTATAAAATTTGTTTGAAACAATCAATCCTATACAGTAAAGTAGCATGTATTCTTCCTATTACTTTTACTAATAAACATGTCTTAAAACACATATATCTAAACTTTAATTAACCTATAGTTAATATGGAAGAGCTGAGAGATTGCAGATTTGCTTCACACTTTATTTTAGAATTATCTTGACAACTTGTCACCTAACTATGTTCATTTTTTTTGTTTTTCCACAAGATGATTTTGTTAATTTAGGAATCATTATATTTTTTTCCTCTAGCTTATTAATTGAGCTTACCTAACATGACTACTTTTTTATTCATAAAATGGAATGTGTATTTATATGCACATATGCCTGTAGATAAATATTTAAATATTCCCAGTTTACATTTTCAGTAGGAATAATTTTGTTTCTATTCACCTTAATTATTACCATGAGGGAACCAGATTTAGATTCATTCTTTTTCTTGATACTTAAATTTAATATCATTTATTTACATTAGAAGTCTTGGTTCTTAAACTTTGGCATATATCAAAACCCTTTTAAAAGTCTGTGTCAGCAGAATTTAACAGATTTCTAGGTGATGTTGATTCTGGCTTGGGGAATATACATTACTACACTGCTACATATAAAATTTAATTATTCTCTGGTTCGACCTGTGTCATAAAGGTAGTAAGATGTTATTTGTAGTCAGATGCATTTCCTCTTTTTCTTAAACTATTTAGTGGATACAAGTGTCCCTTATTATCTTTCTTAGAGTAGTATGCCAAACATATTTGAAACATAGTTTTGGAGGGTAGTTTCTTTTTTGTCATTATTTTAGAGAAAAACAGAGGTGTTTTTACCTCTCTGTTAAATGTTTAGTCAAATAAAAATACAGCAACTTTCTGGAGAGAAAACTATTTGTGTTTGAAGAATATCTGTTCCCTCATTGTTAGAAAAATCTTACACTCAATTGTATATTTTAAAAGTTGTCTGTTATACATTTTTTTCTAATTTCTTGAATGTTAGTCTTTTCCACATTTGGTCTTTGTTTTGTTTACTTGTTTAATATGTTCTACTTCTTTTGCATCTTCTTTCTATGTACAGTAATGCCCATTTACCTGGTTGTCATAATCATTTAACATAAGGTAGAAATTGATTCTGAATGCTGCAGCTGCTGTCATAAAAATTAACACTATTACCTTGATATATAAATAAATCATTTGGTTTCCCATGGCCAGGACAAGAGGAAGCAAAAATTCATGGAAGATTTCCTTCAGATACTCTCTTGTTGATATTATTTTGAAATGATGATTTACAACATAAAGGAAAATAAAAATTATATATCTCAAAAGTACAGCACAAACTGGGTTCTTCTGTAGGAGTAAGCTACTTCTGTTCAATCCAGAAACCTATGAGTATATAAAAGAATATGACCTAAACATATGCCACATATAGAATTACTTAAGAAGAGAAAATATAGAAGTATGTACAGTATTTTGACTCTTAAAACATTTTCTTGGTAAGGCCAGTAGCTGATGCCTGTAATCCTAGCCACTTGGGAGGCTAAAATCTAAGGATCCTGGTTCAAAGCCCACTCAGGCAGGAACGTCTGTGAGAATCTTATCTCCAATTGACTACAAAAAGCCAGAAATGGAGCTCTGGCTCAAGTGGTGGAGTCTAGCCTTGAGCACACAAGCTCAGGGACAGCACCCAGGTCCAAAGCTCAAGCCCCAGGACCAGCATAAAAACAAAAACCAAAGCATTTTCTTGGAATTGGGCTAGCTCAGTGGTGGACTGACTCTACCATTCTGTCCGTGGCAGAAGTCCAGAGTTCAATCCCAGCATCCTCCCCTCACCCTGAAAAAAGATAAGCCAAAACAAGAACTTGTGCGTTTTTTTGAACAGTGCACTTTAATTCTTTCTTACTTGTTCTTCAGTGCCATGTAAATGATGTATTTCTGTATTTTAACTGCCTTTTTTATGATGGCCCATTTTCCTTCTCCTTCCCATTGGCTCATTTCCAGAAGCGTTTATTGTACTATTTTTTTTTGTCTGTATTCATCCCTTTGGTCGTCTCCATCTGCTATTTGGATGTATGCTTATATATATATATTTTTTTCATATGGCTTTTCTCATATCCATTTTGCATTGAACAGCTCTCTCTTCGCACTAGTAATAGCCTTTAAAATTGCTTAATAAATGCCATTTGCTTCACCTAACTTCTTTTCCTTATTTTGAAGATAAGTTACATTCTGAATTATTTTATGAAATCAGGTGTCAAAAAAATACACAGTATTTAACATTATGGTTATATTAATTTAGTCATTCTCTAAAGTTACTACAAAATACTACTGTAATTCCCATTTGTCTACCCAAATGACCATATCTTCCAAAGCTCATTTGTATAAAGTATGAGATTTATTGGTCACGAACCTTTCAACTAAGCACGGCAAGTTTGCTGAGAACTTAATTCTAGGCTGGATAATAATTATCCATCTTTTATGAGCTTTTTGTTCACATCTTTGCCCTCTTTTTTTTAATGGTATGTATACAAGACATAGATTAAAAGATAATCATTTTTATTCACTTTGCAGGACAAGTCTTGGGGACTAGATAAAATGGGCAGGAACATTTAATCCTCTGCTTCAAAGACTATGTGCATGGACAGTTGCAAGGCAGTTATGGCCAGATATGATTATCGGCTTTGGAATAAAATGCTCCCTGACATTGCTTATATCTTAGCTGAGAAGAGAGACCATCAGGTTAGTTATTTTGTAGGGTACAGATGTAATGAGTTCCGTAGCTTTATAAGTCACCAGAGTGGTCTTTATTAGTAGTACTTTCTATGCTTTTCAAATATCCCATTTTCTTGTTATGAATTAATTAATGTGTCCCTATTGTCAGTATTTATTCATTGCATATAATTGTATACTATACTTTTTCCTTAAAACTTTTCAGCATTCTGTAGCTCTTTTGATCTAATTACTCCACAATTAGAAGTATAAGTATTGTTTTTCCATTGGAGATAGCCTTTCTTTTGGGAATACTTTTTATCAGTAAGTTGTAACAGACTGTTAGAAAATACATACTATATTTTCCTTATTTCTGTTCTCTTCAGCAGAATGTCCATTTACTCATCCATTTTAATAAAGAAGCTTCACATTGCAGTACAGTTTTTTTTTACTGTAAAAACATCAGAATTAAGTACCCTCATTTCTTTTGTAGTCACTATCTTCATTGTACATATTAGAACATAGTTTATGGTTTTACCTTCATAAAAACATTTTTGTCATAATTCTAGTGGGTTTACAGTCTGAGGCTAGAGACGTTTTTCCCATTTCTGTGCAGTTTTTATATTTTATGAGAAAGTAATTTTTTCCAAGTAAAAAATTCTTTGATTTACCACTTTTTAGATTATGAAAACAATATTCTTCAAGAATTTTTATCATAATTGCAGTTTTATGTAGGTGTTTGCTTATAAAATAATGCCAATATTTCCTGAGTTGTTGATTTCAAGTATGTCATGTAAGAATATTAATTTAATTATTTTATTTTTAATTTTCTCACATACTTTTATATAGCTTAAGCTACCTGTCACTTCTAAGATGAAAGTGCTTATTTGAACTAAGAATTCAAAATTTCTATTAATAATGACATAATTTATTCTGCTGTCATTGGTTCCCAAAATGAATTTGAGAAGAATTAGAAATGTGGTCAAGAACATCTATGTGGGCATCTTGATCACTGGTTAACAGTAAGTCACCTAGATGCTTGAGGGATTAAACATTTGTTTATAGCTTATTACTTAACTTTGTAATGTTGACATATGTCTCTGAAAATTACAATCTCTTTTCTCTGATTTTAATTATATGAGTGAATGGTAGAATGAGTTCTGGAGCCAGACTTACTGCATGCATAGTCTTGTTTTCCTTTTACTAGTTGGATAACCTTGGACAACTCCTTATCTGGCTACACTCTTTTAATGCAAAATGAAGAAGTAATGACAGTGATTACTAGGTGCACTGCTGGCTCACACCTGTAGTCCTAGCTACTCAGGAGGCTTAGATCTTAGTATC